TATATGTATATATATATATATTTATATATATATGTGTATCCGCGGAATATGATACACAGAACCGACATAGTTCTTGTGACCTTGCATTGAATGTATGTATGTTTATCGACACACAGATACGGATATACAAGAACCTTACGCGGGTACCAGTGCAGAAGGCCATGCGTTCATGTGCGACATGATCAACATAGCCGCTGACGAGGCCCGGCACTTCACCATGGTCCGCACACGCCTGCGAGAGCTTATTCCGGCACGTGAGGAAATAAGAGCGGCCGCCATCAAGAATGGGAACGGAGCCCAGAAGCACTTGGTGTCTGTGGCTATGGACTACGGAGACTTGCCAGCGCACGTGCAGTTGACAACACACTTGCAGTCGACCACTTCAGATGTGCTGGCTCGGTTGGCGGTTGTTCCTCTGGTGCAAGAGGCGAGGTATGATGTAGCCACGTGTATTACTGCGCCATGTATATACGTTGTGCATGAGTTGGTACGTATATTATTACACCACGTATATACATTGTACATGGGTTGGTACGTATATTATTACACCACCACGTATATACGTTGTGCATGAGTTGGTACGTATATTATTGCGCCATGTATATGCGTTGTCCATGAGTTGGTACGTATATTATTACCCCACGTATATACGTTGTACATGAGTTGGTGCTGGTAGTCACTCGGTGATGTACCCATAGTCACGCCATTTGACTACGCACTTGAGGTTGTGCATTGGAAACGTACCGGGACGCTTGGCGGTTATTCTTCTCATACAGGTTTAGGTATGTTGGTATGCTGGGACTGAACTACCAACAATACATTGTTTTATCATATTCACGAGTACGTGTTTGTTTGTATACGTTGTAGTAAATGCGTTCATAAAAAGCATCCCCGCACTTCGAATTGACCACCGGCAATGGGCTGGCAAGCTAGGCGGTTGAGCTAACTATGTTCTCAAACATACTACAATACTGAAAAAATGAATAGTATATGCTTTGCCCATAGGTAAACATATATCGCGTGTGAACGTATATGTTTTAAGTTTCGAGTGAAGAACTTTATGTAAGTACGTGTATTCTGGGGCTGGCACATCAGGAAAGAGATTTTGTTCCGCTGGTGCAGGTGATTGTGCGAGAGAACTTATGCTACACGTTATATTGCGAGCTATATAAATTATATATATATATATATGTGTGTGTGTGTGTGTGTGTGTGTGTGT